GGATCGTGGATCACCACATCAAAAACTAATGATGTATGGTGACTAACATAACATAATAAAATAAAAATAAAATAAAATAAAATAAAATAAAAAATAGAATTACCATATGATCCAGCAATTCCAGTTTGGGGTATACATCTAAAGGAAATAAAATCACTGTCTCAAAGAAATATCTGCTCCCTATGTTCATTGCAACATTATTCACAGTAGCCAAGACATAGAAACAACCTAAATGTCTTTTGGCAAACAGATAAAATAAATGTGGATAAAGTACACACACACACACACACACACGGAATATTCAGTCATAAAAGAAGGAAATCCTGCGTTTTGCCACATCATGAATGAACCTGGAAGTATTGTTCTAGGTGAAATAATTCAGAGAAAGACAAATAATGTATGACCTCACTTATATGTGGGATGTAATAAAAATTGAACTCATAGAAACAGAACAGTTTGGTGATTGCCAGATGCAGGGGGTATGTGGTGGAGGAAATGAGTAAAGGTATTCAAAGTATAAAAGCTTATAAAATAAATAAGTTCTGTATAGCATGGTCACCAAGGTAATAATACTGTATCATAAATTTGAAAGTTTTTAAAGAGTAGATCTTAAAAGTTCTAATCAAAAGAAAAAATATGTAACTATGTGAGGTGATAGGTGTGAAGTAACCTTAACGTGGTTATCATTTTGCAGTGTATACATACATCAAATCATTGTTTTACACCTTAATCTTATGCAATGTAATATGTCTATTTTAACTCAATAAAAGTGATAGAAAAAAAAAAAAAGAATCTGAGTAGACCAATAACGACTAAGAAGATTGACTTAGTAATCAAAAACCTCCCAAAAAGAAAAGCCTAGGACCAGATGGTTTCACTGGTGGATTCTATGAAACATTTAAAGAAGAATTAATACCAGTCCTTCTGAAACTCTTCCAAAAACTTGAAAGGAATACTTCTAAACTCATTTTATGAGGCCAGGATTACACTGACACTAATGCTAGATAAAGACAATACAAGACAATACAGGCCAATATTTCTGATAAGTATAGATGCAAAAAATATCAACAAAATACTAGCAGAACAATTCAACAGCATATTAAAAGGATCATACACCATCATCTAGTGATTCATCTCTAGGAAGCAGGGATCATTCAAAATATGCAAATCAATAAATGCGATACACCACATTAACAGAATGTAAGATAAAATCACATCTCTATAGATGCAATAAAACATCTGAAAAATTCAACATTTTTTCTTTTTTTATTAAGTTCAATTAGCCAACATATAGTACATCATTAGTTTTTGATGTACTATTCAGTGATTCATTAGTTGTGTATAACACCAAGTGCTCATCATGTCACATGCCCTCCTTAATGCCCATCACCCAGTTACCCCATCCTCCCACCCACCTCCCCTTCTGCAACCCTCAGTTTGTTTCCCTGAGTCAAGAGTCTCATATGGTTTGTCTCCCTCTCTGATTTCTTCCCTTTCAGTTTTGCCTCCCTTTCCCCTATGGTCCTCTGCACTATTCCTTATATTCCACATATGAGTGAAACCATATCAACATATTTTCATGAAAAAAACTCTTGATAAATTTTGTATATAAGGAACATATTTCAACATAATAAATGCCTTATGTGACAAGCCTACCAATATTAACAAGCATGTTCAGTGGTGAATTGTTAAATGCTTTTTGTCTAATATCAGGAACAAGACAAGGATGCCAACTCTCACCACTTCTATTCAACATACTGCTGGAAGTCCTACCCAGAGCAATCAGGCAAGAAAAAGACATAAAAGTCAGAAAGGAAGAAGTAAAATTGTCTCTGTTTGCAGATGACATGATTTCATATAAAAAAAATCTAAAGACTCTCCTAAGAAATAATATTTTTTAAAAAGCCAATCTGAAAAAAAAAGAATACTAGAATAATAATGGAATTCAATAACGTTTCAGGATACAAAATATAAGTACAAAAATCATTTGTGTTTCAGTACAATGAACATTGAAAAGAGAAATTAATGTAACAATCCCATTTGCAATAGCATGAAATAGGATAAAGTACTTAGGAATAGATCTAACCTAGGAGGTTAAAAATCTGTACACTGAAAACTATTAGATATTTATAAAAGAAATTGAAGAAACACCAAAAAATGGAAAGATATTCTGTATTTATGGATTTTAAGAATTACTGTTGTGAAAATGCCCTTACTACCCAAAGCCACCTGTAGATTTATTGTAATCCCTATCTCAAATTCCATGGTATTTTTCACAGAAGCAGATAAAACAATTATAAAATTCACATGGAAACAAAAGAGACCCTGAATAACCAAAACAATTCTGAGAAAGAAGAACAAAGCTGGTGGCATCATGCTTTCTGATTTCAAACTTTATTTCAAAGCTATAGTAATCAAAACAATATGGTGCTGGCATAAAATCTGACATATAGACTAATGGGAGAGAATCAAGAGCCCAACTATGAACCCATAGTCAACCAATACTTATCAGGAGGCCAGGAATATTCAATGGGGAAAGGATAGCCTCTTTTATAAATGGTATTGGGGAAAATTGGATGTTCACATGCAAAAGAATGTATTAGATCCCTATCTTACACTGCTCAGAAAAATTAACTCAAAATGAATTAAAGACTTAAGTGTAAGACTCAACACCACAAAAAATCCTAGAAGAAAATATAGGGAAAATACTCCTTGACATGGTTTTGGTAACAAGTTTTTGAATATGACACCAAAAGCACAAGCAACAGAAAAAAAAAGTGGGACTACATCAAACTAAAAAGCTTATGCACAGCAAAAGAAATAATCAACAAATGAAAAGACAACTTACAGAGTAAGGGAAAATATTTGCAAACCACATATCTGATAAGGGATTAATACCCAAAATATATGAGCAGCACAAAAAAAAAAAAAAAAAAAAGAATGGGCAAAGGACCTGAATAGACGTTTTTCCAAAGAAAACATGCATTTTGCCCATGTAAATGTTCCATAGGTGTAAGAAAAGGTTTTCAATATTTCTAAACATCAGAACAATGCAAATCAAAACCATGAGATGTTATATTTGTTAGAGTGTCTGTTAAAAAAAAACAAAAACAAAAACAAGAGATAAGTGCTGGTGAGAATGTGGAGAAAAAGGAACCCTTGGACACTGATGGTAGGAGTGTAAATTTGTAAGCTACTCTGAAAACAGTATGGAGGGTCCTCAAAAAGTTGAAAATAGAGTAGTAATCTGATCCAGTAATCCTACTTCTGAGTATATATGGGAAGAAAATGAAATCAGGATCTCAAAGATATGTCTGCACCCTCATGTTCATTGCAGCATTATTCACAATAGCCAAGACAGTGAGCAACCTACATATCCTTCAGCAGATGAAGGGATAAAATAAATGTGATATATACAGTGGAATATTATTCAGCCATAAAAATAAGGAAATCTTGCCATTTATAGAAACATGGATAGACTTTGAAGGCATTATACTATAAAAATATAAATACTATATGATCTCATTTATACTGGAATCTAAAAACAAACTTATAAACAGTAAGTAGATTGGTGGTTGCCAGGGTCTGGGGTTGAGGGAAGTATCAAGATGTTGGTCAAAGGGCACAAACTTTAGTTATAAGATGAAGAATTCTGGTGATATAATGTACAGCATGGTGACTATAGTTAATATTTTAACTTGGGAGTTGCTAAGAGAGTAGTTCTTAAATGCTCTTACCACCAAAAAGAAGTAATTTTATGAAATGATGGATATACTAACTAACCTTATTGTAGTAATCATTTTGTTATATATATATATATGTGTGTGTGTGTGTGTGTGTATCAAATCATCACATTGCACCTGAAACTTACAGAATGTTATACACAATTATATCTTAATAAATCTTGAAAATAAAAGTAAGAACAAAAACAAAACAAAACAATATTGGCTTTTAGAAAATAGCTCGTTGCTTCCTACTGAAGTGTCAGTGGCTGACGATGGCTCAATATGATACTACTTCTAGGGTAATGGGATCAAATCATCAAACAAAGGCAAACAAAGAAGTTGTGATGTTGAAATTTCAGACATTGGTCTGCAGATGAGGAAGCTATTTGGGAGCAGCAGAGAGGTCTTCATTGCATTCTGAATCATATGCTGTATGCTGTTATGTTCTGAAAATAGGTTAGGATTAAACTTTAAATTTACCCCCCCACACACCCTGGAATCCCCTATTCATGTGAATTTTGCTTTGAAAATTGGTTTCACCAAAATATGGTTTCATCACATGGTGTAGAATACTGGATCACTTGTACCTTAAATTTTAGAAACCCATTTTCCAACAAAAGACCTGCTTCAAAGTCAGTAGCTCTTAACCAGGCTCTTTTGACACTTCTAGGGGGGAGTTGAAGAGGGAGAAAGCCAAATTCCTTTGAAATTAAATGGAAATTGTTGGGCGATTTGCAGAACCAAGTCTGGCATAATGGATTATGGTCTCTTGAAAAGAGCTCTGGGGGAGCCTGGGTAGTGCAGTCAGTTGAGCATCTGACTCGGTTTTGGCTCAGGTCATGATCTCAGGGTCTGCCCCTCCCCTTGCCCCTGCTCTAGCTCTCTCTCTCTCTAATAAATAAATAAATCTTAAAAAAAAAAGAAAAGAGCTCTGAACTGAGAAAGAATGTGGATTCTATCCCTTGCTTTATGACCTTGGGTATGACATTTCACCCCAGGTCTCAGTGTCCTCATCTGTAAAACCACTGATGACAACACCACAAGATTCTCAGTGATACCTGAGTAAATGGGAAAGTGTGTGTTGTTGCATTAGTCACCATACCATTCCAAAATCTGTTAAGGAATGCACTTCTTCCTTTGGATGATTTTCAGTTCCAGTTCACACTCTAAAATAGGCTGCCTTTAATTGTCTGCTCAAAGTGGTCACTGGGTGATTTGGGAAACCCCTTGCTACTTAACTTACATTCTTTCCCTTTGATCTCCCATCTACTCTAGGTGTCAACTCCGCCCGCTCAGTTCCTCCTTCCTACCCACCACCGCAGGACCCGTTAAACCAGGGCCAGTACCTGGTCCCTGATGGCATCGCTCAGTCACAGGTCTTTGAGTTCACCGAACCCAAGCGCAGCCAGTCACCATTCTGGCAAAACTTCAGCAGGTTAACCCCCTTCAAAAAATAATAATTACAGGGAGGCAGATAATTTTAAAATAAAGTAAATAAAATTATATTTATAGATGGACATTTTTTTGGAGAAGCACTGTTGAAATTTATATATATATAAATATATATACCTATATATATATTTATATATAGAGAGACACACATACACACACAGACCCTTGAGTGTACACACACACACACACACACACACACAGAAGGACCAAAAAAAAAAAAACATTTTCTGTTGTTTTGGGGAAGTGAAATCTGTAGTTGGTAGGAAGAGGTACCAATGACTTCTAAACATGTGATCCCTTCTTAAAAGTTTTCTGTTCTTACCCTGTCCCCCTCCCCTTTATTTTCAGAAATTGACACTTCTATGTGTTCCTTTTCTTGTTGAGATAATCTCTTTGCTCCCTTGTGAGTGATTCATTGACTTGTCATTATTACCATAGATGTGTTTGTATTTTTTTTTTCTTTCCTGATGATACTGATGCTGATAACTTTTGAATTTACTTTGATGTGATGGAGTTTGGGAGTTTGAAATTTCTTTTTTTCCTTTTCCTTTTCAATGGGTAAAGGGAGGATTCCCCTTTCTCTTTTCCCTCAGCTGACCATCTGTGACTGTTTCTACAGCCCAGCAGTTGCCCCAGACAGCTTTTTCCCTGCATCTTCTGTCCTCAGTCGTGCCAGTCTAGACATGCTCTGTTGTGCCCAGTGACATAACTGCTTGATATTTCTATTGCTTTCACTGTGTTTTAGATGTCATAGAGGGATCAAAACCAAACAGAATCAAGGGAGAGTCAGAGTATAATAATTCTGGAGAGGACTTCTGTTCAGGGAACATTCTGCATTTGGGCTCTTCTCCTAGCACTGGGGTTCCCATGTTATAGCACTGCTGGATCATGAGCAGTTTTGTATCTGGGGTTTAGTTTGAGCCAATCATTCTCTTCTTCAAGTTGATTTGGTTATGGTGTTCCTTGTAGGCCTCCTCCCTCCCCTAACCTAAAAGATCAGAACTTGAAGCAAAGGGGCTGAGACTCTGCTTCCCAGGGGAGGGATTCAACTGCCTCTAGCACCAAGTAGACTTAAAGTTGGGGTTCCCCACTGAAATCATTTCAGAGGCCTGGTCATCCCTGCTTCCATTTTCAGATTACAGGCAGCATTTATAGGAGTCTATGAAGGGGTCAAGACAGAGCCCACCTGACCAAGATCCTCAGCTGCCTTCAAATTATTGACCTGGACAGGATCCAAGGCTGACCATAACCTCTTAAAGGAAAGAACAGGAATGGGCATGGAAAGAGGCAGCCCTAGCCCAAGATATGTACCTGCAGTTCCTACCACTCAAGTTATGTGAGACTTTCCCCATTGTTAACAGATTGCATGGACAATCTTCCATGATTACTTCCTTCTCCTCTCCCTGTTGTCCTTCTTTCTCCTGTTCTCCTGGCACAGGAAAATTCCTGCTATTAGCATAGTTAAAGAACTCTGTCACTCTAAGAAGGCCCTATTGCCAAAATTCTCCTATCCCAGGACATTGGAAGCAAGTAAGTGAGGAGCCCAGGGAAACTTCCCTATGGAGAAAAGATCTGAGGTAGAGACACTACCCTCAGACTTATTTTTGGCAGGCTTTATACTTAGGCAAAACTAACTTCTCCCACTAAGAGGCAGGCTCCCTATGGGGGCAGGAGTACCTGTTCCTGCTCCTCACATAGCCCTTCAGGTGGACAGACCTTGAACAGCAAGGAGAATGGAGTACAAAGGAGTGAGAATGGGCCCTGCTATGGAGAACCACTCTAATGAGGAATCTGGAAATTGTGAGTATGTTCTGGAACCTAGGAGAAAACTTCATCATGAAAGGACCTCAGCTTACTGAGCAGCAGCCATGGCTACATGAGGCCCTCAGCATAGCTGACTTGATTGCTGCTCTATGCCTCCTGACCCAGACCAGGCCCTGCCCAGCCTGGGAATTATTCCTCTGTGGGAATCAAATTACAAGCTGTTTGCTTCCATTCCACCACATTCAAATCAGACTTGTGGGGTAAGCCAAGGGTAAGCCTGAGCTGGGCAGGGGGCTGGGGCTCGGGACCGGCCACAACTGCTCAGCAAATGACCCAGCTACTAAAGTCCCACCTTGGCAAGGAACCTGATATCCACTGCCTAAGCTACAATGGCTTCCCTGGCAAATAACATGTGTTTCAATGGCTGTGTAGGCCTCCCTTAAGTATACGTTCTTTTCCTACTTTCCGTTCTCCACTAGGCTTAACCTTGACATGTTTCTCCAGGGGCTAGGAGCAAACCAAGAGGGGATGCTTGGCCAAGTCCCTAGGCCTCTCTTAGCCAAGCCCCCTTGCTCTCCCTCCATGCCCTTCTCCCCTGAGCCTGTGCCCAGAGCTTCAGGATCAGGATTATTACCTCTTGCCACCCACCTCTCATCTACTCAAACAGCTGGCCTCACCAGATGCCAATAACTTGTGAAAACAACAAGAAATCAGTTTACCATTGGTTGGAGTGTTTCCCCAGCCTATGGCAGCAAAGCAGACCAGTGACCAACAGCCCCAAGGGGAGCCCTGTTACCTGGGATCAGGGTCCAGGTCTATTCTGTGTCCCTACAGCAGTGCTATCCCCAAGAACTCTGTAAATCTCCTCTATGTGTGCATGGCCCCCAAGCTCCCCTTTTCTCAACTCAATGAGGCCTGGATTTGTTCTCCAAAAGGCTTTGCTAGTGTGTTTTATGGGCCCTGCTGTGGGATAGTCCTAACACAGAAATCTAACTCCTCTTTCTCTCTCCCACTCTCCTCTTCTCTCTATGTGTATAACTCTAATGGATTTATCAAGGACAGCAGCAAGAGAGTTCTGACAATTCTAGTGTGAAGCCAAATAGTGATCTTTAGTGCTTTGGGGCTGGGGTGGGCTGGGGTGGATGGATGGGTAACAGTGATTTTGATTACCCCTGCTGCTCTGCATTTGCCAGTTTATTATTTTGTTTCTTCTGATTGTTTGACCCTGTCAAACAAGTGTCAAAGTTGTGTGTTTAAAAAAAAAAATGTTTAACAACAAAACTATGATGTTGTAATGACACAAAGCCTTATGAAAATATTTATGGAGTTCAATAAAAGAAGTAAAAATACACTTCTAGGCACATTTTTCTTGCCTCTGTGTGTGCATTTCACTAATTGCAAAATAAAGGAAATTTTCCTGATGGGGGACAGCTTATCCCAATCTAGTCTTGGCCTGCCAGCCCTGTTGTTCCATTGTCAGGCATCTCATGGGCTGTCTGTGACCTTCCATGCCCTTTCTGGAAGACAAGTTTGATCCTGTAACCAGGGACGCTTCATATGTCTTTATATATGGGACTGTTCTTCATGTCACCTGTCCCTTTGATAAGACTTGAGGACCCATTCCTGACCCCATTCCCTTCCCTTGCAGCTACAAATCCAGTACATGTCCTGGGCACTCATGGGAGCTTAAAAGTTGCTTTTTGGTTCTAGCCAGAGGCCATATCATATTCTGGTTCTGTCTCCTCAGAAGTAGACACATTCCTTATCCATCCCCAAAGTGGGTGTAGTGACCTTACTGTTGTATTCATCATGGTGTTGCCTGCAAGCTGATGCTCCTTGCTGCCCACAAGGCCCCTATGTGGTGTCTTATCCTGCCCTTCAGAGAAGCAATAGTGGGTTTGTTTTGGCACTGCCTCAACTGCCTGTCTCTAGAGTGACTAAACACTAACTCTAATAAAATGCTTATTTACTAAAAGATATCAGATAATTGTCCTAAGCTATAGAGTTAGGAGGAAGAGCAGGTGTTTTACCTCTGGGTTAAGGTATGAGCCCTATTTAGGACTAAGGGATGTCCCTAATCCTGGATTTGGAGAAAGTAATTATTAAAACATCTCCTTCAATAAACTTTACCCTTTCTCCATTTCTTGGCTCTCTCATAATTTAATCTCTTTTCCTACTGTCCCCACTTCTTCCCTTTCCCATGGGGTCTGTAATCTTTTTTCATCAAACTCAGAACACTCAGTTCTCAGCAGTCCCTTCTCCATCTTACCATTTCCCAGCTTCATCAGCTTCCAAAGGTGAATCTCAATTATGCTCTGGTCTGAGTACTCCCTGACTACCTTCTGAGGGTCCTAGAATGGTGAGTGGAGAGACAAATGCTGGAGGGTCTTACACTCTGGGATGCAGCTGATTCTCTCCTAAGGTACCTAAAATCAGCATGTCTCATCACCAGAAGAATTATTTCTGAAAGCCCCATATGGTCCACATGATCATCCATACTCTTTATTACCATAAATAATCGCTCTACTACTTACCAAGCTTATTTGTTAAGAGCATTTACCCACTTGCTACCCTCAGTTTTGTTACAAGGTACACGATATTCACTGTTGAGAGTGCTGCTATATTTATTGATGAAAGTGCCACTTGCCTAATTAAGTTTCCAATTTGCCTTTTCTAATTACTAAATTTCTCCCCTTGACTGGGGACAGAAAGGGCAGCAGATTTAAAGTATCATTTTTAGGAGGCTTTCAAAGGGGAGGGCCTTAGCCCATCCCAAGATCATTTATCAAGGACAATGGCTTCTCATTCTACTTTTCCCCAGCATCTTGTGGGAAGCTCAGGAGTGGAGAGAGAGAGATCTGTGGTGTGCCCAGATGACCAGAACTAGAATAGAGAAAGGAGACTTTGCAGCTTCCAGGAAAGGCCTCTTCCTAGAACAAGTCATCCCTGACCTATCTGTATCCTGGGAAGTTTCCCACCAGGTCTGATGGAGGAGGCTAATGGCTTGTTTATAAACAACAATTGCTCCTATTTCAATGACCTTACCACATACAGGTCTCATGTAATCCACTTCACAACCATTTGGCAATGGGGTTATTAACCGCATTTAACATGAGAGGCCAGCAGCTCATTTGAAGTGACTAGTCAAGGTTCCCCAGCTTATGGGTATTCATCACCTAAAACTCAGCCCCATTCAAACTGATCTCAGAGCTACTTCCTCTCAGAGTGTTTCTGGGGCTGTATGTGTTGGGAAAGAGCTGGACAAAAGTATGAAATGATCTGATACTAACGTGAATGAGTGACACTCTCCTTGAGAGCCCTCTTAAATTTTCTAATACAGTCCTCCAACATGTGAATGCAGCCATAGGTCGTTTTGTCTCTAGTACCAAGACCAAGTGGGATAAGGACCAAAGCTTCTGCTTACTTCACTGAGGCCACCACTGTGCTGTTTGGCCCACTTAGCTTTTGACCTCTTTGGGATTTCCTTATTCATGCTGACCTGCTCACTACTGGCTCCCAGAGGCTTTTGTCCTAAAATATGGGACTGATGAGGTAGATCTTGTTTGCCCAGGCCTTTACCTGCCAGGCCCAAGGTAGGATAATGAGACTTCTTAATATTCCCCCAAGTCCCACCACTGCAGGACTATAGTTCAGCCTGGCCATAGGTAGATTAGATCAGCTGGGTTTGCAACACAGTTGAATAGGGATGTTTGGTGGTAAGATTCATGTTCCCTAGAAGCACACTATTCTGGTATCATCTCTCCCATTTCTGTCTTGGGCTGTGACCTCCTTCTCCAGACATGTCACAGGGACACTATTTTCTCATATACTTGAGAAAGGGGGGGGGGGGAAGGAATGTACATGGGCAGGCAGTAGCCCTGCATTCTTTAGAAACCTCTATTATTTCTAGTTAGCTCACCAATAGGTCATTTAAGTTAGCTTCCTAGACAAGGCTATGTCCATCTCCACAACAAACATGCTTCTCCACAGACCTGTCAACCAGCTGAATCAGATTCAACCCCCATATCTTGAGTATGTAATCTGGGCCAGACCTTATAGTAGGTACAGCAGAGATACCAAGATGAC